TAGGAACTTCACGACGCTCTCTGTATCTCTTCAGCAGGCTCTGGCAAGGGGGAAAAACAAATCTTGGTTAATTATGCAAAATCGAATGTTTAAAAAAGAGTAATGAATAAGTCAATAACTGTGAAAGCATCAGTAGTTTCGATGTAAGTTTACAAATTCCTTTAGGTCTCTAAATGTCTCGTGATGAAGAAGCAAGTGATGAGGACTATTTTGTTAAGGTCACCCCCTCTTCTGGAGCCTGCTGTACTATTCCCTTGGTCCTTGGCAAGCCAATCAGAAGGCTCGTGGAACTGAGTTGAGGAAAATCGCTTTTCTGATTGGCTGTTAATGTCACTTGAGTATAAGAACGGTGTGTCCAGGGCGAATGTTCTTACCTGATTTATAAATATGTATGTACATGTTTTGTGGACTGTATTGTCTTAGGATCGAAACAATGATATTATTGATGATCAGTTGATGATAAGCTTGATGATAACGAACCTTAGCTGTAAACATGGCGCTAACTTTGTGACGGGGATCAGCTTTTTCGGAACTCAAACGGGAGCCTCACAAGAGTAAACTTGCCACCACAACGTAAATACGAGTTTTTTGATGTGGAAGTCATGTTTCCTCCTGAAGTTGGTGGTTTAAAAGTCATATTTCCGAGCGGTGGACATGAGCGCCGCGTACATAATGTTGGGAGCCTGTTAACTGACGCGGTTGGACCGGAATCCTGTACAAGACGACATAACGAGACAGTGTTTTGAGAGATAAAAGAACTCTTTGACTTCGCTACACCTCCGCAGCGAGGAGCCATCGACCCCCCCGAACCGACCTCGATCTAGAATGTTCTCTCGCGGATTCTTCCTCGCTGTTTATGGGGGTCCCGCGAATCGGTTCTTGCGCTCACGTCGTCTCGTTTGTGTTTTGAGGTTACCGCCCGCCTCGCCAGACTCGAAAACAAAACCCCAATTTCAAAATAACATCAGATAACCACGACGCCGACTTAAATGTTCATTCTTAGCCAGCACTAGTCTTTCACTGCTAACACAGTCTCATATCACAAGATCGAAGTGTTGAGGTTCGTCTAGAACTGCAGGAGTGAATTTTATTTATTCAGAATAATAATAATAAAAAAACTGATTAATTATTTGCAAACTAGCTGGAATGGGCAAAATTTTCATCTCTTTCCTTTGTTTCCATCACGAGCATTGGTTTCTCGCATCTGAACTACAAACTTTGACTCAAACCTGAACATCACTTCTCGTATCTCATTCATTTCTATATATGAACCGCAAAACGACCGTAGAATTTTTTCCGGAAAATTTGCCCAGGAGAGTAGTGTGAACTAGCCGACTATGCACCGCTGTTTCTTGATATCCGCATAGGTTCATATTCTCCTTTTAGAAAGATCTTGTATCTATTATTATCCTGTCAGTGTTGTACGTGTGTATCGTGAACATGAAGTACATAGGCCTGCGTCTTCGTCCGGTAACGTGACGTCACCGCTGCAGCATTCTGACGTCATGGACTTTGTGACGTCTCGTGTGACGTCATCATTTGACACTACAATGCCATATCACTTTTGGATGTTTTCTTTCCATGTTGCTCTTGCACTTTCTCCTTCGCGCTTTCAACGAGAGGCGCTTCTTGTGTGCGGCGTCAACCTGCTTCAGCGATGTGGACACGATACTGAAGGGAGACCTGGGCCAAAATTATATACTGAAGCGTTATCAATAAATCCGTATATAAGATTAGGAAGTTCATAGAGAATGTGAATGGGGAAGCCCGTTGGAATGAGTTATTAGTTAGTTTATACAAACCAAACCCCCCGAAAAAAAAAAAGTTTAAAAGAAACCTTGTTGTCTTTATGTTTTACATCTTTTCTTTTTTCTTCATTTTGTGTCTCCATTTTTTAATCTATGTTTTAGAACGTACATGCAGTATCTCTCTTAGGGAATTTTCACCAAGCTTTCCCCTTTCACTCCCTTACTCTCGAGTTTACCAATGCTAAACATTAGTTAATAGGTATTACTAGTATCAAAGTGTGATCTGTGGGTTTATAGCATCGTGGTATGTCGATTAGGCAGTTTTCTTTCCCTTGTCCTTACAAAAAAAAAAAGAAGAAAGCAAAAATGCAATGACATAGTAACCAAAAGAAAAGAAAAGAAAATAGAAGAAGAAAAAACAAATCAAAGAGCAACTCTCGTGTTTCTTTTTCATTCGATCGGCGGATATTTTCCTGATTTTCGTTTTCTTTTTCGTGGACAGAATCGTGTTGATTTTTTTTTCTTTTCTTTTCCTATTTCCTGGTTATCAAAAGATCCTCTTCGTCACAAATGCGTCGGTGGTCATGATTTTTAAGGGTGATTGTAATGGATAACTAAATTACCCTTCGTTTTGATGAGATGACTGTGCAGTGTTCCCTTACCTCGAACACTGTTGTTTTTTATGTAGGATCCCTTGTCTCGCCTCATAGAAAAGTTGTAGGCCAACAACTCACAATATGTTCCGTAGTGTCATTCATACATGTTGATTTTTTATAGTAAATATGCGGTTTCACAAACTGATCAGAGTGACTTTTAAACTTTTTAGATATATCATAACAGAAGTGTTTGTAGTGGTAACAAGAGATGTAAATCATAAGTATGTCCATAGAATTGTCTAAGTATACCCTACAAAATATCCAAAGCAAACCACCTTCGCCCATTTTCTGTAACAATTTTCACACACGAGGAAAATAAGATTAAAAAATAAATAAATAAATAAATACAAGAACATAATATTATAGGCATGAGTTTTTATCATTGTTATGGGTAGAGAAGAATATTCTTTAGGTAGTTTTACCGATGTTAAAAATACCTGTGATGTGGAAAGTTACTTGGTAATTTAACCTTGTTTATTTTATGCCCGCTGAGACGGTGCAGACCTTGCCACTCCCTTTACAGTCACACTATTGTAATAAATAAGATACAGAAGTATGAGGTGTTTTTGTGTCCTTGGGTTTTGGGCCTTGGTTTCAGAAAAGGGGTGAGACTTACCACCGTTTTCTCTCTATATCTATGTATCTCTCTCTCTCTCTCTCTCTCTCTCTCTCTCTCTCTCTCTCTCTCTCTCTCTCTCTCTCTCTCTCTCTCTCTCTTCTCTCCTCTCTCTTCTCTTTCTCTCTCTATTTATCTATCACCCTATCTATTTCTCTCTCTCTCTGTCTGTCTGTTTTATATATACACACACGCACTCGCAGTACATACAGAGACATACATACATATAAACATACATATGTATGCGAGTGTGCGTGTTCGTGTGTGTGTGTGTGTATATATATATATATATATATATATATATATATATATATAATATATATATATATATATATATATATATATATATATACATACACGTCCCTACAAAATTATTAACTAAAGAACAACACACTTTGTATTCACAAATATTTTCTACAAAAGACATTATTGCAAACAACAGTGATTGCTTAAAAAAAAGTCAATGGCGGAAGACGGATGAATCTTTGAAAATAAAAAATAACTTTTATTGAAAAGAAAATTTGAAAGAAATCATTAAAAAATATAAACAAGAAAACATAAAATACAACAAACAAGTCACCAAATTGTCACATTTAAGTTACTCTATTGGCAGCAGTTGATCATGTTGATAATTCTAAAAAAAAAAAAAAAAAAAAAAAAAAAAAGTATCAAAGAATGTGATATGAAGTATTAGAAAAACACCATTGCCAAAAAATAGAAATGAAAAGATATCTACTTATTTCCCTCGCTCTGTCGATCTATCTATCTATACCCATATATATATATATATTTTTTTGTACATATATATATATATATATATATATATATATATATATATATATATTATATATATATATATACATGAACATAATGTTACTAAGTAAGTGCACTTTATTTAAGGCCTTTAAGGGTATTCACGACAAATCCCAAAACGGAAAACTGGTACCGAAATACCATAGGGTAATGAAAGTAAGTCAAAAGGCAAATAAATCTACGGGATCGAAACGCCCTATTTGACATCACAAGTGTAAACGTTTAATTGTCGTACATTTGTTTTATTGACTTCACTGTTATCATAATTCTGGACAGTTAATAACGAACTTTGAAAATTGGGTAAAAAATAAATAAATAAAAGAATACAAAAAAAAAATTCATACAATTTGCTAAGATTTTTTTTTCTTTTTTTTTTTTTTTGATTAGTTGATATATATTTTTCTTTATTGGATTAATGGCCATTAAGATTCCATTACATACGAATCGAATGCCAGAATCCAAATGACTGTTATCAATAAACTAAAAAGAGAAAAAATACTTAACAGCAACAATCTGATAGCTATTGAAAGTAAAAATCGAATAACAGAATCATTTTTTTTTTTAAATGCAGAGATCAAAAACAGATAAATTTTCAAAAAAAAAAAAAATCAACATTTTAATAAATCAATATTTTTAATAGATTGAACAGAAATAATCTGATAGCTGCTCATGAAAAAGAAAATCGAATTAGAAAATCAATGAAAAATAGTCCAAACACAAAGTGGAGTGAATAAATCCAGGACAACCAATATTTTTGCGAAGCCGAAGCCGGGGTCAGTCCTGAGCCGAATTCTCATCCGAACAGACAAATGAAAATTCGAAAGGCTCTGAATTGTTAGTCTTTATTTTGTTTTTTTATATATAGGTTCTCATCTCTTTCCTTAATTCCGTTTTGTTTTATTTTGTATGTCAATATTTTTGTTCGAATTAAAAAATATATATTGTTTCATTTCAGTTAATTTAGTTTAATTTCATTTTAATCTCTTTCATTTGATTTCATTTCATCTTCATTTCATTTCGTTTTTTTTATTGTATCTTGTTTCATTTTACCTCATTTTATTTAACTCTTTTTCATTTGATTTCACTTCATTCCAATTCATTTTACTGTCATTCCATTTTCTATCATTTCATTTCGCGATACATGTAATAATTATTTTAAAAATCCAATCATGAAATATCAATTTATTAACGTGCTTACAAAATCAGTTTCGTTGATCGGCACCGAGGTAGATGTCCAAGCCCCGCCCCCACGCCCAAAACCACGCCCACAACCCCCCACGGGACAGAGACGGGCGAGCAGAATGCACAAGAGCCCGCCCACCTCTCGCCCCACCCTCACACGCCGCCCTCCCGAAGGTTTAGGGCGGCGTGGTCATACGTCAGGGCAGTCGTGGGCGTGGCTTCGAGGTCAGGAGACGAGGGCTTTCCCTTATAGGCCTAGAGTTCACAGGTCGCATTATAGGCCTAGAATTTACAGGTAAGCATTATAGGCTTTCTTCTTCTTCTAAGCATTATAGGCCTAGAATTTACAGGCCCTTCTTCTTCTTCTAAGCATTATAGGCCTACGCCTAGAATTTACAGGTCTTTCTTCTTCTAAGCATTATAGGCCTAGAATTTACAGGTCTTTCTTCTTCTAAGCATTATAGGCCTAGAGTTTCTTCTTCTTTAAGCATTAGGCCTAGAATTTACAGGTCTTTCTTCTTCTAAGCCCTAGAATTACAGGTCTTTCTTCTCTAAGCATCATAGGCTAGCACTTCTTCTTCTAAGCATTAAGAAGGGCGTTGATGTCCGCCTTCAGGTCCTCGGGGTCGATGACGGAAGGGTGGTACCTGTAGACGGGTTTTCCTTCCCTGTTGAGGAGGAATTTCTCGAAGTTCCAGTGAAGATCTCCGACCCTTAGGGGCTCGTAGTACAGACCCGACTCGAAGTCTGTGTCTGTGTATTCACAGCCGCTCTGCCAAGGGGTAAAGAGGAACTGGTTAATAGTACGGCATGATATCGTGTTAATAGTACGTCATGATATCGTGTTAATTGTACGTCATGATATCGTGTTAATAGTACGTCATAATATTGTGTTAATGGTACGTCAGATCATTTTAATAGTACGCAATAATATCATGTTAATAGTATGTCATAATATGTTAATAATACGTCATGATATCATGTTGATAGTATGTTATAATAGTACGCAATAATATCATGTTAATAGTATGTCATAATATCATGTTAAAAGTACGTCATAATATGTTAATAGTATGTCATAATATCATGTTAATAGTACGTCATAATATCACGTTAATAGTACATCATAATGTCACGTTAATAATACGTCATAAAAGAAATTGTTAAAAGTAAGCCAAGATATCAACATTCATATTCTTTTAAAAGCAATTCACACATTTATTTTCAGGGTAATGAAGATTTCAGCTGAAGATAGGACGAAATCTCACACACCAGTGTAGTCAAATATACAGTCCCTATAAAGTCCTTCAAGTTCATTTAGTTTTAGTGTCCTTCAAGTTTAAGTTTAAGTACATTCAGCTTCAGTGTCCATCAAGTTCAAAGTCAACTTCATTCAGCCTCATTGTCCATGAAGTACAAAATCTACTTCAGAGTAAACTTCATTCCGTCTAAATGTCCTATAAGTTCAAAGTCAAGTTCATTCAGCCTCATTGTCCATCAAGTTCGAAGTCAACTTCAAAGTCAACTTCACTCCATCTAAGTGTCCATCAATTCCAAAGTCAACTTCACTCCATCTAAGTGTCCATCAATTCCAAAGTCAACTTCACTCAGCCTCAGTGTCCATCAATTCCAAAGTCAACTTCACTCCATCTGTGTCCATCAACTTCAAAGTCAACTTCAAAGTCAACTCCATTCAGCCTCATTGTCCTTTAATTTCAAAGTCAACTTCAAAGTCAACTTCACTCCATCTAAGTGTCCATCAATTCCAAAGTCAACTCCAATCAGCCTCACCTTCAAGAACGTGAAGATGGGGTCCTCGTTGTCGCCGTTGACCTGCGTCTTCTGGAACACCGTCATCCGGGTCTCGAAGCCGCCACCCGGACGGACGTAACGGACGCCATTCAGGAGCTCGTCGGCAGTGGCTCCCGGCTCTTGCTGGCGGTCGGACGTAAGAGTGGAGTGTTAGAGTCGATTTTTCAGGATATTCTCTTTGTGTTTATAGCCTTAGTGTCGAGAGCAATCGTGACGTATTAACTCTAGTGCGTCTAGTCTCAAATTAATAAATGAATAAGTAAATAATAATGATGCTAATAGTAATAATAGTAATGAAATGGCAACTCATCCTGATTCGGGAATATTTTTCAGTCTAGTTCAATAGCTCTTTCTGAGATTGGTATTAAGGGGAGGACTTTGAAACAATTCTAAGATTCGATTCTTAGGATATTCTCTTTGTCTTTGTAGTCTTATCGTCGAGAGCAATTGTAGAATATTATTTAGTGCTAGTCTCAAAAAAAAGAAAAAATGGCAACCCATCCTGACTCGGGAATCTTTTTCAGTCTAGTTCAAGGGGAGAACTTTGGAATAATTCTAGTGTTGATTGTTAGGATATTCTCTTTGTCTTTACAGCCTTAGCTTCGTGGGCGCTGGTGACGCACTAATTGTAGGGCGTTTAGTCTAAAAAAAAAAAAAAAAAAAAAAAAAAAAAATGGCAACCCATCCTGACTCGGGAATCAGGTAAGAAAGACATCAAAGGATAATCCGGTAAAAAAATACGAACGGGTAACATAAGCAAGCAGTAATCATAGCCACACTATAATTAATATTCCTTTAATTTTGTTTTTGACTGAAACACATACCCAAAAACATATAAATTATCACCAAGATAAAATCACTTTTTGGTTCTAGAAGTAACCTGCCTATAAAAATCCAACAGAAAACGGTAAGTAGATTTCATGTTCACAAAGAAAACAAATAAAAAAGGAAAACCTGTTGGCAAACAAAGAACACAAATAACTTTAAATTATTGGTAAGGAAAATAGAATATAAACATGGAAACCTACTAGCAAACAAAGAAAACAAATGAATAACTTTAAATTATTGGTAAACAAAAAATAAACATAGAAACATATAGGCAAACAAAGAAAACAAATAACTTTATCCTACTGGCAAACAAAGAAAATAAAAAAACAAAGGAACAACCTTATCATGTTGGTAAACA